TTAATTCTACATTTAACCTCTCTTAAAAATGAATTATCACTTTGACCCAAATACTAAATTTAACCCAACTAAAACCCTAACCTTAATAATCCTAAACACCACCTGCACCCAAATACTACATTTCACCACACTCGATCTGTAAACACAATAACCCTAAATAGCTTGTATACTACACTTTTAGCGCTTCTCAAGCTTTTAATAATTTCAAAACTGAACACTCTGCATGCCACTGTAATACCTATCCTGAAAAAAACATCTCTTGACCCATCCTCCCCTTCTAACTATCGTCCCATACCCCTGCTCCCTTTCTCATCAAAGCTTTTGGAAAGACTTGTCTTTACCCGTGTGTCTCGCTTCCTTAATTCCAACTCTCTCCTTGACCCTCTTCAGTCTGGCTTCCGCCCTCTCCACTCTACTGAGACTGCTCTTATCAAAGTGACTAATGACCTAATCTCCGCTAAATCCAAAGGTCACTACTCCATATTAATTCTCCTTGACCTCTCTGCTGCCTTTGACACCGTTGATCATGCTCTCCTCCTTCAAACTCTTCAATCGCTCGGTCTCTGTGACTCTGTCCTCTCTTGGTTTTCCTCCTATCTCTCCCAACGCTCATTCAGTGTCTCCTTTTCCAAGGATACCTCCTCCCCTCGTCCTGTCTCGGTTGGAGTTCCCCAAGGGTCTGTCCTTGGTCCCGTCCTATTTTCTCTTTATACTGCCTCTCTAGGTAAACTTATTGCCTCTTTTGGATTCCACTACCACCTGTATGCTGATGACACTCAGATATACCTCTCCTCCCCGGACCTCTCCCCTGCCGTCCTGCAACGTGTCACTGCTTGCCTTTCTTCCATCTCTGACTGGATGTCCTCACGCTTTCTGAAACTTAACCTCTCTAAAACTGAACTCCTTGTCTTTCCTCCTCCTAATACTGATCCTCCTCTCTCGCTCTCCCTTCAACTCAGTGATATCCACATAAGTCCATCCCTGCAAGCGCGCTGTCTTGGTGTCATACTTGACTCTGGTCTCACCTTTGAGCTTCACATCCAGTTTGTTGCCAAGTCCTGTAGGTTCCAACTCAAAAACATAGCCCGCATTCGCCCCTTTCTTACGCAAGATGCTACCAAGGAGCTTGTCCATGCTCTAGTAATTTCCCGCATGGATTACTGTAACCCTCTCCTGATTGGTCTCCCCAAAAGCCGTATTGCCCCGCTACAGTCTGTCATGAATGCTGCAGCTAGACTGATCTTCCTCTCTAGTCGGTCCTCTCACACCTCACCCCTCTGCCAGTCCTTACATTGGCTCCCTGTATGCTATAGGAGTCAATTCAAAGTGCTAACCCACACATTTAAAGCACTGAACAATTCCAGCCCCACTTATATCTCTTCACTAATCCATAGATATGCCCCTCCTCGTACCCTCGCTCTGCCCGTGACCACCTCCTGACCGCTGCTCGCACCCGTACGGCCAACTCGCGCTTGCAGGACCTCTCGCGGGTGGCTCCTCTCCTATGGAATAGCTTGCCTACTGCCATCAGACTCTCCCCTAGTCTTCAATTATTTAAAAAGGGCCTTAAAACCCATCTCTTCAGGAAAGCTTATGGCCTCCCGGAGTAATCTCTACCTTACATACCTGTCTCCTGCTCTCTCCTATGGGACAGTGCTTTGCTCTCTCCTCCAGCTCTGCTTCACTCCTACTTGATACTTCTTGTCCTAATGTTTCAAATACCCCATCTCCTATAGTCTGTAAGCTCATTTGAGCAGGGTCCTCTTCAACCTATTGTTCCTGTAAGTTTTCTTGTAATTGTCCTATTTATTGTTACATCCCCCCTCTCAAACTATTGTAAAGCGCTACGGAATCTGTTGGCGCTATATAAATGATGATAATAATAATAATAATAAACTTCTGATGTTAACCCCTCTCAAACATTAAACCATCTTTTACCCTAATCACTTCTAACATTACATTTAACCCTGCATATATTTACATACACTCATTGCATTCGCAGACTCAGACACAATACATGCACATACATATGCAGATTTTGCTTTTTAAACATTGTATGTGTGCAATGTCCAGTTAATAAATTCATTAAACATCTGCAAGTTTTTTTTTTTTAAATTTAGTCATTCTGTGCCTACAGTCTCCTGACATATAATCCAGCCCTGCCAGGATATCCTCAATTCATTCAAGTTCCCCTCTCTTAATACCATTTACCTCCATTTTATGTCCCATGCTGTAATTCAGTTCAATGATAGGTCTCCCTTCTACATATTACTTCCAGCCATCCCTAATAAGAAATGTTCCATCAATTATGTGTCAAACCCTCCTCATGATAGGCCACCAAGCTAGCACATCCTTTCTTTATTATATGTCTCTTTTAACACGACGTGCTATTTTCTTATAGACATAATCTCTACCATGCCTTTCATCATGCAGTATGACAAAATATTTGGGCCTACCTGCATGCTTATCAATACATTGCATGCATTATTACACCAGTAGGTTAGGTTTCCTAATCCATTATTATTTGCATTGATATAGCACCAACATATTCTCCAGCCCTATTCTACAGAGAGGGAATAGGAGGTAAGAAAATATATCCCAGTTAGTCAGAAACACTTACTGGTGAGGTGGTATGACTGGGATTCAAACCTGTGTTTCCCAGCTCCAAGGCAGTGATATTACCATTGTTCTAACCAGCACCACTGCTGGATTTGTGAGCTGGCTGCAAAGAGAGGCCCCGAAGATCCAACTGTACTCTGTGTTGATCTTTGCCAATCTTCTAAATGGCGTCACCTGTTCTCAGTAGTCCATTGGCTCTCTCAGGCCCTCTCTACAAGGTAGACAGATTGACCAATGCGATAGCAGAAGATGTTGTTTTAACACTGGGTAAGTACTGGTATGGCAATGTTACAGAAGTTAATTGAATATCAAATGATATATTTTTTTATACCGGTTCAATGCAAAACTAAACCATATTTCTGTATGCATTAAATTGGTAGGAAAGGAGTTAATATTTATAATACATACATTGAATTGGATTTGAACTTGAGTAGAGACTAACAATATGAGATGTAAACCTTTTTTGACAAGTAAATTCTGTCTGTATATTTTCTTTTGTTACTCAAGGTTACTCTGAAATAGGTAATGATATGACCTAAGCCCATTCTTAGGTAGGCCTGTCAATAATTCCATTGAGTCTGACAAGCATATGTAGGAATAAAAAGCTGAATTTAAAATTCCATTTGGTACGTAGGAATGAAAAGTGTTTTGTTAGTTGAGAGATCAAATATCTAGTAAATTCTAAGAGTGAAAATCTCTTATATAAAAAAATTATATTTTTTTATTATACAGGGGTACTTTTAAGAAAAATTGTCAATCGTATGGGTTATCATGGCTACTAAAATAACAACCACCTCTGGCAACCCCTTTGCTCGCATTCCTCCACCCAGTGGAGGCTCCTCCATACGGGTATTTAGGGCAGCACCAGTATTATTTGTTTAAAAACTTTATTTACAATTGTTTAGAAACACTATAATTTTTTTCTGGGGGAGGGTAGCAAGCCAAAAAATATGGGGAAAAATGTGTGTCTCTGGAAATCTGTAATAGGTTTCAGTTCTACAGGACCCCTAATTTCTAGCTATTTAAAGAAGCGTTCTTGAGAGCATTTTGGCATGTCAAAAAAATTGTCAATCGTATGGGTTATCATGGCTACTAAAATAACAACCACCTCTGGCAACCCCTTTGCTCGCATTCCTCCACCCAGTGGAGGCTCCTCCATATGGGTATTTAGGGCAGCACCAGTATTATTTGTTGAAAAACTTTATTTACAATTGTTTAGAAACACTATAATTTTTTTCTGGGGGAGGGTAGCAAGCCAAAAAATATGGGGAAAAATGTGTGTCTCTGGAAATCTGTAATAGGTTTCAGTTCTACAGGACCCCTAATTTCTAGCTATTTAAAGAAGCGTTCTTGAGAGCATTTAGGCATGTCAAAAAATGGGGTCTGTTTGAAATCTGTCCTGTTTCAGCAGGTTTTACATATACCACGTCTTTTTTTTAGAAGGAATTTCAGGGTCATCTTATGCAGCCAATTGCCCATGAATAAAGGCATGCTATTGGCCTCTCTATTCAGGAGCAATCATTAGTCCACAGCACCAAGAGGTGGGGTTACAGAGCCCACAGGAGAGAGAAGCAAGAAGCCATCTCGGAAGTAGCACAACAAGAGAACAGCAACAGTGGCTCCTTCCCCCTGACAATTGAAAGTTTAAAATATTATCTTATTTATCTTCCCCAATAGCCCAAGTGTCTGCCTGGGACTGATAAAGAAAGTGAATTTACTCAAATATATAATTAATATATAAAGCCAGTGTGGATAAGGAAGGAAGGGAAATGGCAGACATTTATTTGTGCCACAGCACTGTACTGCATGTTAGTAATAGTTTTAATAACTCTTATTGCACATACCAACCATTTACTCAGTTACGCTACAGCTGTGGCCTGAGACACTCATGCTATGGCTTATTGAAAAGTTGTGAAGCTTTTCACTGCAGGACTGGGGCTGTGACTCTAACGACTGATCTGTTTCTGATTTCAAACTGTAATGATTGTTGCTTATTTTGAACATGTCAGCTACTCCTTGGCTCTTTGTTACCACTGCAGATTAATTATATTGCCTAGCAAAGAGTCTATCAGTATCCTGTTGCTTTAACTCTGTGTACACCATGTGCCGAGAGTCAGGGGTAGCTAATATGTTTGGAGCATATCAATATGCTGATGCTTTTACCATGTGCACACTGTGTGCTGAGAGGTAATGAAGAAGCTGATATGTTTCATAACAGCAGCAATATTTACTAGAAAGCTAAAGTTATCATAGCAGGAGCACTACTGAAGAGTCGATCATGAAAGGGAGAGCTAAGAGAGGGTTAGGAAGATAGACAGATAGAGCAAATGCATTTTACAGAGACATGCACTGTGTGACGACCTCTATATTGCACATCTGTGCAGGGCCGGTGCAAGGATTTTTGGGTACATAGGCGAAGATGTATCTTTCCGCCCCCCCCAAATAACATCTTCTCCCCGTCCATTAGTGGTCCCCTCCCTTCCCTGTCCCTTAGTGTTCTTCTAGGCTCTCCCCTCTTTTTCCTGTCCCTTGGTGTTTCTCTCCCCTCCCCTCCCTGTCCCTTGGTGCACCCTCCACCCCCTTAGTGGTCGCACTCCCCTTCCTGGTGTGCCTCCTACCTCTCTTGTAGCGTTGCCGAGTGGAGGATATCCCCTACAGGAGCTTCAATTTTCTGTACCTGGCCGGACTGACAGGGAGTGCTCTCTCAGGAAACAGAAGCTCCTGTACTGCGTTCCACCACGCTACACTCAGTGGTGTATACACACTGACAGTCACACACACTCAATGACAAACACACAGACTCACTGATCTGACACACACTCATTCATTGACAGGCACACTGATACTCACACACAGACTCAATGACAAAGATATTCTCACTGATTTGACAGACACTCACAAACACACACTGACAGACACACATACACTGCCACACTCATACACTCACATGCAGTACTCATACAAGCACTCACAGACACACATACTCATGCACACACTCAGTCACTCACAGGCACACAGACACTCCGGCACACATACACTCACACACAGACACACACACAATCACAGACAGTCACTCACAGACACACACTCACTAATTATTTTAATAAATTAACAGGCAGGACAAAACTCAGGCACCCCCCCCCACCGCACCAGTCCCCTCCCAACCCTTCCCCCCGCCCGCTAAATACACACACACATTCACTGACAGATCCGCATACACTCGCTAACAGAAACACACTCACTGACACACAGTCAAACACACACATACACACACTCACTAGCACACACACTCACATTCACTGACAGATCCGCATACACTCGCTAACAGAAACACACACACTCACTGACACACACACACAGTCAGACACACACACACACACTCACTGACACACAGTCACACACACACACTAACAGACAAACAGTCAGACACACACACTAACAGACACACACTCACTAGCAGACACACACACAAACTCTCACACACTAACAAACACACATTAAATGACACACTCACTGACACACACACAGTCAGACACACACATACACACTAACACTCACTAGCAGACACACACACACACACACACACAAACTCACACACACAAATTAACAGACACACACTAACAGACACACACACACACACACACACTCACAGGCAAACACACACTCACTGACAGTCAGACACACACTAACAGACACACACTCACTCACTAGCAGACACACACTCACACAGTCAGACACACACACACACTAACAAAACACACACACATTAACAGACACACACTCACTCACTCACATTAACACTTTTTTTTTTTATTCACTCCCCCCCCCCACCTCCTTACCTCTGGGAGTGCTGGGGGGGAAGGGGTTCATTACCTCCCTGGTGGTCCAGTGGCTGCTGGGCGGGCGGCCAGCGAGGGAGCTCTTCCTCTGAGCGGTCTGCTCAGCTCCCTCGCGCGCCGCAAAGTGAGGCTGGGAGCCGGAATATGACGTCATATTCCGGCTCCCGCGGTATCAGCAGACAGCGCGCGAGGGAGCAGAGCGTGGAAATTAGAGCTCCCTCGCCGCGTCTGATCACAGCACAGCCGCGCGCCGCGCCGGGGATCCAAAAGGTGGCCTGGCAGGAGGGAGAGCTTCCCTCCTGCCGGTCACTGAAATATTGCACCCCCAGAGCCGGTGCGCCCTAAGGCGGCCGCCTGTGCCGCCTTATGGACGCGCCGGCCCTGCATCTGTGTGTTGTGTGGGATAGCAATGACTATTTCCCACTTGTGCCCAGCTCTGTGTGTTATTTCTCTATATTTTACTTAGTTCTGCCTATTACATAGGTACCTCTTTAGTCTACCCAGCTGTGTATTATATAGGTATCTTTGTGTTATGACCAGCTTTATGCGTTGTATTTTTTCAGCCCTGCTTGTGGTATGGTTGTCTTTGTATTGTACTCAGCTCTGAGTGTTTTATACATATCTTTATGTTGTGCCCAGCTTGGTTTATTGTATGAGCATCTATGTATTATGCTCAGCTCTCTGTATTGTATGAGTATCTCTGTACTTTACAGGGAGGAGTACAATTCTGGGGGAGGTGTCTGACGCCCCCACCATCCTAAAACCTTTACCACCAGCTACTGCCCCACCACAGAATTGACTGTGCTTTGGAACACTTACCCAAGCACGGTGAGCCTTTGAAATCATGCTAATGTGATGGTTTCAACCCCAACCCACAGGTCTCTCAATGGAGTGACATATATTAAAACTAAACTTGAGAAGTGTTTTTCAGAGAAGAGTGTAGGAGAAATCTACATAGAAGTCTAAGCTTACAACTGATTGACAGATGGGGGAGGAATCATTTTTTAATGGATTTTTTTAATAATCTATAAGTCTGTTAGCATGTTTCCTATAACAGAGGCATGGTTTTATGCTCTTTCAAAAGTATACTGATGATTGTGTGCAACATGGAGCAGATATAAAAGTATGTATAGTGTCTATGCGAAAAGATGTTATGAGGTTGGTAGAAGTTAAATTGCTTGACTATGGGTTGTAACATATAATAGAACTTTTCTCACCCAGTGAAGACACCTTATTTGGAACTGTGAGACAAGTCTAGAGTTGGGCTGCTCAAGGTACTGAAAGCATGGAAATTTTGAGAAAATTACTGTCGTGGTAAAGAGTGATACAAAAAAATCAGTAAGAACACATACTTAGAAAAGTGATTGTTTACTTATCAATTATCCGTAATAAATACATATTTCTGCTTCAGGATCGATGAACATTAAGGAAACGTGGTAATTGTATTTTAACACACATTACTGAAAAAGTTTAATATGTATCCCCATATTTTGATGAAACAATGGCAGATAACTCTCGGAATTACTGTGATATTAGAAGTATGTCAAAGAGAAAATATAGCTTTAAATAAATATACTATATTGAATATTTGACAGCAATGGGTGCCAGGTTCAACCCAAATTATGCAAACATCTTTTTGCAGATTGTTAGTCTGATAACATCTGGATGAATAGCCCCTTTGGAGGAAGCCTGATGCTATGGAAATGTTATATTGATGATATCCTCATGATCTGGGTTCGAGACATAACCAGTTTTTAAGAGTTTATGACCTATAATAATGCTAACAGTGGATATGGGGAAAGAAAGTATCCACCTTTTAGATCTAGTGTTTTTTGTTGAAGACGATCAAGTATAAGGCAAAACTTTTTTTAACCTTGTATACGGGAATGGCGTTATCAAGCACAGCAGCTGTAATCAACCGAATTGGCTACAAAAAGTAAATAGAATTATACCAAGCATTACGAATTAATCAACAATTAAAAGTTTTAAACAATAAATCTAAAGCTAGTCTTCTAAACCAAGTATAACCATACAGCAAAAACTATCAAAAGGGCTTTAAATAATTGCGGGCCCATCTTGAGACAAAATAGATATCTGAGAAACCAAAGATCATTATTTAAAAAAAAAAACAAAAAAAAAAAACAGAGAATCTGAAAATGAGTTTAGCTCCCAGTGTTTTAGCAAAAAAATTCCAGGAGTCAGTAATGAAAAATAAACATGGGAACATTTTAATGAGATTCCCAAAGGGAGCGACACACACTGTGTTTCCAGTCACTGTGGCAAATGTTTAACATTTTTGTTTAATGATTTTATCTGTATTTGTATTGATAAGGTAGTAGGACATTGAAGGGGAGGTGACACCACACAGTTGTTATCACAAAACGAAACAGATTGGATTTATAAATTAAAACCCTAATTTCTCAAGGTCTAAAAATCCAAGGTAGACCCAAGGTAGTAAAGACAATATTTTAACAACTTCTTATTCCAGTCTATCCATACAGCGTTACATCTTTTTATCACAGCGTTTGAGGATGTTTCAGTAGAGATACCTGCGGAGACCTGCGCCATGGGCTAGTGTATGCATAAGCTGCGCCCGACTTGGCGTCTTCCTCTCTAGTAGGTGCTACTACTTGTTGGTGATTTGGAGCTGAAACCAGTGCCCATCAGCGAATCGAATCCAAAACATAAACTATGTACAGAGCATCTAATCATACGCTGATCTTAAAGGGCAGGGAGGTGTAACAAATGTGTGTCATCTAGTCATGTGCAATTCTATGCGCCTCTGTCAGGGTGATCTTTGGGACAATGATCGGTCAGCTAGCCTCCCTGGAACCCCTGGTATTTGTGGTCATGGTGTGGGCACTGTAATGGCCCTAGGTGCCCAGGGTGTGGGGTTTCAGCGTTTTGCACTGGTCTTGGCCCTGTGGGCCCGCTCTGGGGTCGCTACGGACTCTGGAGAAACGCTGTCTGATCTCCATAGGTGGGTAAAGTGAATGTTTCCACTTCCTGTTGGGCCACTAAGGATCCCTCTGTTCCCCACCTATATTTGATATCTGTCTCCCGCAGTCATTTTGCAACTGGTGCTAGGTGCCTCTTTGCCATGAGCACTGCGAACGGGAGATCCCCATATATAGCTACAGTGCAGCCCTCAAATTGAACATTTTTAAGCTCTCTAGAATGAGACAATATGATGGACCTAGCAGCAATGTCCTTAGTGACTGCTATAATGTCTCTAGATGCATCCTCTGGGGCAGCTGCGGCCTTGCGGATCCGGAATGCCGCAGTCACCATCTCCGGGTCAGCACCTCTCTTGGCTCTATATGGTTCAGTAAGCGGTGAAGGAAGGGCAAGAGATCAGCACCCGAGATCCATTCTGGCAGTCCTCGAAGGCGGATGTTCTTTCTTCTGTGCCTTGACTCCAACACTGTCACACTTCTGGTAAGTGTTTGGACCTGTTGGGTGAGGTCTTGGATCTCATCCTGTGCGGTCTTCAGCATTTGTTCCCTGGCTCCATCTCTGGATTCCACTTATGTGAGTCCTGTGCACAGGGTCCCCAGCTCAGCTTGAGTTGCACGAAGGTCTGCCTTCCACACCTGTCACATTTGCAGCAGAAGATCTTTTCTATCCCTTTTCGTAGCCAGCGAGGAGTCTTCGTCGTATCCTGACTCACTGTTGGTGCAGTTTGCTGGGGTAGTCCCAGTGGGTTGCTCTGCATCTTGTGATGCCTTGGAGACCTCGCCCTCACTCAACTCTGCAGGCGCCATCTTGGGAACGGCCAGCGTGGTTGGCCTGTCAAACGAGAGCCTGATATCAGGCAGTTTTTGGGTCTCTGGTATCTGGAGTTTCTTGTTTTTGCGCCCCAATATGTCGGCTGGGTGGGGGTTATTGTTGTGTGTTGCTTTTTGGAGCGTCTTAAATGTTCTAGTCAGCTTTTTTCAGTTTCTTTGGCGGAGCTCCTCTCAGGCACATCTTTCTTGCTGCTCAGTCAGCCACACCCCCGTTAAGTAATTGTTTTAATGCCTATTTTTTTTTTTTTTTTATTGAAATTGTTGTACATTGTTAAAATATCTGCATAAAATAATTCTTTGGATTAAGCATACACTATATATATTTTTTACTTGTACTTTGTACTGATGTTTAGATAAAGTTTTTCACACTATGAAGTGTCAATATAGAGATAATTTATTTATATTTTTTTCTCTCCCTTTCTGTTTACATTTTTTTTTTTATTCTTTATTTTATT